AAAAATTTATTCTGACGACTAAAACTACAAAAGTCACAAGGGTTACTGGCCTAAAGTATTTGGTCTGGGCGAGTGATTTAAATTGGTCCTAAACGTATGGTTGCTCAATTAAAATGTTGAACAATTATGTGAATAAAAAAACGATCATTTCATCGTTGTTCATACCTTGTTTATACTAAAGAGAGGCACACGTGCTTTGACCTTAAACTTGCATATTATGACCAATCAGAGAAGATTACGTCATCCTCTGCGGGTCAGTGAAAGAAGAAGCATGTTTTAGTCGGGTAATTCAAATATCTTAATAAAAAAATGAGACACTTGGGAATCAATTATGACATTTTCAACATGAGTCTGACCGTCAACAGTCAACGGACTGGTCAACTTCGCCGATCTTCAAAGCCAAAGGTGTGCGTATTCGTACGCGCTGGGGCTCCAGCCAATGCGTAAAAACAGCAAAACAACGCGTAATTACGCACTCTCATACGCTAACGAGTTTACTGGCCTTCTCCATGATGTCTCCTGCAGCAGCTTAGGTGTGCAAATTTGTCTGATGTGACAACAATTCCTAAGCAAATCAGTGGGGAAATGGAATGAAAAAAACTATAGATAATGAGTATTTTATAGATGCCAGAAAGGACATTTCAGTTTTAAAGTTTAAAAGAAAGATCACTTATGTGAGGGAACTGCTATTTTTCATGTAACGTCAGTAGGATGCTCAGTCTCTTTCTCTTTCTCTCTTTCTCTCTCAAAACACACACACAGACACACACACACACATATAACACTGATGCTGCACATATCCTTTATTTATATCAAGAAGTAGCATAAGTAGAAGTCGGAATCTAGCTTAAAGGGATAATAACTCTTCGTATGAGATCTATATTTCACAATAAAAACATTGTGAATAACCCATAGAAATATAATATATTCTGTTTTACCACAAAAACGGCAGTTAAAGCTATTATTCTGATATCTGAGCTTGTCTTTAGACCATGTGACCTCCACTGATGGCTATACTCTGTTAAAATCTCTTAAGAGATTTTAACAAAAAACCAAACTTTTTAGAAAAAAACCAGGGACTAACTTTGAATGTAAAAATGGATTCAATAACCATTGGTAAGTATGGGAAAATTGTTTTTTACTCCAGGAAAATTCATTTTTTGGCCGAAATGAAGAGTTATTATCCCTTTAAATGATTGTATGATCAGGCTTGAGAAGAAAAGCTTCAGAGATGGGTTCTATCCAAACAGATAGTGTGTTAAAAATCAGTTTAAACCTATAAGCACTAATTTCACTGTCTCTTTACTGAAGATTCTTACCACAGTCCTGATGACAGAATTAACCACACAAATGGATCTTTGAATTTCAAAGCTGGCAACTTTTTGTCTTCCCTGCCTGTTTCTTTTAAGAATGTCAGAACTAAAGTTAAAATAGTTATGTCGCTCAGTTTGATGTAAGACAGTTGCTGAAAGAAAATTTGATGCATTCCAACTGCTGTGTGAAGGGTATACTACTACTATACATTTGAAAATTTCGGATGGTAGTATATTATGTCTTAACATCATGTAAAGCTTCTTATCTTTCCCAGTCCAGACCTGAAAAATGATAAAAGCTTGATGTTGATTTTTTTTTTTCTGAAACGAAAGGAATCATGATTTGTTAAGAATCAAGTTATTTACTTAGAAAATGCACAATTTACAAACCATTGAATCCAGGAGCTGTGACTTGTAAAGCAGTGATTTGTAAGTGGGAGAAAAAATATCCACAACATTTCACATGTCTGTATCATTGCATTCATCATTCATCAGTTTTATTTCAGGTGTTGAAATTTGGAGAAGTGATGTATAATGGCCTGACACATTGAGCTTGTTGTCAAATGTCAAAATGATTCCCATTTGACTTTAAAAGTTTGAGCTTGACGAATTTCAAAACAAAAATCAGGATTTATATGCTCTTTAATTTTTTTATCAAAGACAGTTGCCTGTATAAAATATGTTGACTGTTTGGTGAGATCAACACAAAATACTTGCCACTGGCTAAAACAATTAAACAGTCTGTTTAAGATCTAGGATGATCATCAAATTCAGACAATTGCCCAGACTTTTAAAGGATATGCATTTCCACCTTATTTATGTCTTTGTTTTTTTTTTTATTATTTTTTATTTTTTATTGTTATGATTTTTTTTAATATGCACAGTGTAAACAATTAGACATGAAATGAAATAGATTGAATATAGACTTGATTTGACTGTAGTATAAGAACTTGCAGCAGCTCAACTCACTTGGCTTATTTTGACCCAAGGCACTTAACAGAGGGTGGCACCAAGTAGAGTTTGAACATTTCTTTCACCAGGTCAAGAACATCAGCAGGAAGCATTGGTATGTGAGAACAATTTAATTTTTTACTTTTTTGTTGTACACTTTCTGTGTCATAATTATATTATTGTTTTGGTTCCAGTTTTGATATATGAAATTAATATTTAGATTTTAAAGACCAAATGACTCCTTTTTCAATAGGGATGTTCAGTGTTAATGAAAAATACTTATTTTGCCAGTATGAATACTGTTATATTGGAAAATAAACTTGCAAAGCAATTTCAAAGTTCATGCTGTCCATTTTCTAAATACCATGTTGATTGCCCCTATTGTGAGAGTTCAACTGCTCCAGACTATACCAGAAGCTCCCAGACTGTCACTTCCTGTTGTAATCGATACAGAAATTATCAGCTTTTTGAAATCATGGAATGGAAAAAAAGTGCCAACATTCACATTTTTTCCAGCATATCATCCTGCCAACAGATGAGTTTTTTTTTTTTTTTTTTTTTTATCTTAACATAATTAGATTGTGCATTTAATGCTATGTATATACAGGTTGAACTGCTCTTCAGAATTGTACATATGAATTTAAGAAAAAATAGTCTTCTTATTGCATTATTTGAAGATGATAGGCAAACTTTTGGTACTGTTGTAATTCTGACATTTAAAGTGAAAGCAGTGGCCCCTTTTTTACTACACCTCAGGCAAGTGCTTTCACTCAATTTGAGACCAAGTTGGATCAATAATGATAGTACAGATTATGAATTTTTGATCATGATGGGACGTATAATCATTTACAGGAAAAGAAAAATGTATGTCATATGACATTCATAAAAAATGAATAGTGATGTTAAAGCACATGTAAGGAGAATGAAAGGCAAAGTGAAAAAAGTATCTGTCCTTTAGAAGAATTTCCTTTTTTTGCATTTAAAATGTTCCAAAATTTTGGTAAAATACAAGAAAGCAGTAAACC